CACGCGAAAATATGGTATCTAAAATTCCAGAATTAATACCGATTAAACCAAATTTTACATTGCAAAAATACCTGCATAATCTATTGTTAGAAAAGGTAAATGTGTATAAAATTGTGAAAGTCCCTGAACCCCTATGTCCCAAACTCTATTCTTAGTTCAAGACTAAGGTACCTTATTATTGCCAATTTTAGCGACTCCAAATAATTTCAATCCAATTCGCCAGTACCCTTTTAGCTGGACGCAAAATCCATCCTTAACTGACGTTTACTGCGTATAAACACTTATTCAGATAGTAGAACTTCATAATTTTCAAGATTTTCAGGATTTTCCAGATTTTCCAGATTTTCAAAATTTTCAAACTCATCAAGATTTTCAAGATTTTCAAGACTTTCAAGATTTTCAAGATTTTCAAGGTTTTCAAGATTTTCAAGATTTTCAAGGTTTTCAAGATTTTTAAGATTTTCAAGATTTTCAAGATTTTTCAAGATTTTCAAGGTTTTCAAGATTTTCAAGATTTTCAAGATTTTCAAGATTTTCAAGATTTTCAAGATTTCAAGCTTTTCAAGATTTTCAAGATTTTCAAGATTTTCAAGATTTTCAAGATTTTCAAGATTTTCAAGATTTTCAAGATTTTCAAGATTTTCAAGATTTTCAAGATTTTCAAGATTTTCAAGATTTTCAAGATTTTCAAGATTTTCAAGATTTTCAAGATTTTCATGATTTTCAAGATTTTCAGGATTTTCAAGATTTTCAAGAACTTCCAAGAGTTTCAAGATTTTCAAGAATTTTCAAGATTTTCAAGATTTTCAATATTTTCAGGATTTTTAAGTTTTTCAAGATTTTCAAGATTTTCAAAATTTTCAAGATTTTCAAGATTTTCAAGGGTTTCAAGAGTTTCAGGAGTTTCAAGAGTTTCAGGAGTTTCAAGAGTTTCAAGATTTTCAAGAGTTTCAACATTTTCGACATTTTAGACATTTTAGACTTTTTCGAAGATTTTCGAGATTTCCGAGATTTTCGAGGTTTTTGAGATTTTCGAGATTTTCGAGATTTTCGAGATTTTCAAGATTTTCAAGATTTTCAAGAGTTTCAAGAGTTTCAAGAGTTTCAAGAGTTACGTTTTCAACATTTTCGACATTTTCGAAATTTTCGACTTTTTCGACATTTTCAACATTTTCGATATTTATGAGATTTTCGAGGTTTTCGATATTTTCGATATTTTCGAGATTTTCGAGATTTCCGAGATTTCCGAGTTTTCCGAGATTTCCGAGATTTTCGAGATTTTCGAGATTTTCAAGGTGTTCAAGATTTTCGAGATTTTCAAGGTTTTCAAGATTTTCAAGATTTTCAGGATTTTCAAGGTTTTCAAGATTTTCAAGTTTTTCAATATTTTTTTTCTCGAAAACTATCCGAGAGGGCCTGTTTCTATCAATGACAAGAAGTGAAGTAAGTAAAAGGATCTGCTAAATGAAAAAATCAGAGTAAATAAATTTTGCTAGAATTTATGTTAGGGTGGGGGGGGGGTTTAGTTTTCACCCTTCTCGAACAATTTAGAGATTTTCGTAAAAGCCAAATATTGGAAGATCTATCAAAACATATGTGTTCGAAATTTCATTTAAGTGGTTCTATAGGTTTTTAGAACATCTTGAGAAATGTGTTTTAACAAGAAGACTTTGACGCCCTCTAACGGACAAAACGAAGCACTTTTGCATAGAGGAAAATCATGTCCGCTCGACTCATATTGAGTCTGAAAGTAAGTGGAATATCAGGACATCCTGGATATACAGATAACTCTGAAAGAAATAATATCCCAATTACTTTATTGCAATCCTCCATTGTTTCCCTTATCCGTAAAAATGTTATTGAATGTTAAAAAACAAATATGCATCTGGCTTCTACACTCTTGTACTGATATAGCAAATAGACAAAAAACTTAAAAAATCCTATGAAAATATCTGCAACCCTACAGGTACTTACCTTTGATGTAGTCAACTAACCGCTCCAAGAGATAATTGTCATAGCCAGCCGCGATCGAGTAATTTATGGCAGCATAAAGCGAAATAATAAGTTCCAGTGAACATTCGCATTAGGGTATAAATTATATGGATTATGTGCAATTTGCTTATAATAGACTTCGAACTGCATAAGCGCTTAGAGTAAATGGCGATCTTACATCCATTAACAATCTAGATTCATGTATGGGATACCCGTATAAGTTCTTATAATGGAACATATTTTAACTATCATAAACACATTAACTTTGATTGTTTTATTTCAAATTTATAGAAGCAGTTTAAAATCAAACGTTAGATTTTGATACCACTAAACCAATATGACTTGCTACTGACACATGTGCGACAACAAGGGATTCACGACATGCGTCTTGATTTTCAAGCTACATGAGCTTACCTTATTCATCAAGTCACGTATTAGATATTAGCAATCTAATGTCAAGTCAAGTAGTCGGACAAGTATTTGGAAATTCAAGAAGTCTTGATATTACCTGATAACTTTTATAATAACAATAATAAAAGACGCCGACGTCAAGCTGAAAACGGCGGATTGGCCTAGTTATAATAGTTATCAGAATAGTCAGTCATGTACTTTTGAAACTTTTGGCTTTAAAAAAAATCGGAAAAATTTACACCCTGTGATGGTCTTTTAGTTCGTGTTACTAGAAATTTAATTTTTGTTTCTTATATGGAGTGAGGAACATTGTCATTATACGTAGTTACAGCAAGACTATAGATAGTAAGGTCACTTTTATTAATTGATGTTTGTCTAGTGCCACCATGTCGGTGTTCACCATACGCCAATATGGGTAACATCTCATTTATGGGGAACGTACATGCAATGCTAGTACTGCAGCTAGGCTTTATCGTGAGAGGTACCCAAATGCTGCTCATCATGCCGATCGAATATGTACTAACACAGCTGTCAGAATACGCTTAAAATAGTTTTGGGTAGTTAAGGTTTTCAAAATGGGTAGAGGAAAGGTTATTAGTGAGAAAATTCGGTTACTGATAATATAATTAATTTTTTTAATTCTGGGAAATCAAACTCACGATATGTGAAAAAAAGTAATATCACAAATGCCGACCGAAGAGCATTAAGAAGAATAATCGAGAAAAACAGGCGTGCCAATTATTTACAATGTGGAGTGACGCTGTTGGAAGGAGAATTTCGAGGTCCACAACTCATAGAGAGGCCCACAAACTGGGATTTAGCACTTGCAAGGTAAATTTTCTCATAAAAAAAGTGAAGTAAAAACCCTAAAGTTGCACAACTTGTTTATAGGTCAAGGAAAAGCCACTATTAACTCCACTGCAAAAGAAAAATCGGCTTAGATGGGCTAAAGAACATAGACAATGGACACCTCAACAATGGTGTGATACAATGGAGTGATGAGGCCCGATTCGAAGTTTGTATTGGTGACAGTCGCAGTAGAGTTATTCGCAAAAAAAATTAAGCATTCCATGTTGACTGTCTGAAGGAAAAAATGAAATTTCCAGCATCCATTATGGTCTGGGGCAGTATGTCATCAAAAGTAGTAGGAAAACTTCATTTAACTGATGGAAATGTGGATACAAACAAATATTTGGCAATTTTAGAAGAATCGCTTTTACCAGTGATGGAAGAATGTTTGACATCCGGCCAAGATTTTGTGTTTCAGCAAGATGGTGTACTGTGCCATACCTCAAAAAAAGGCTATAAAGTGGATGGAAGAAAATAATGTACCACTTTGGAAATGGGTTTCTAGCAGTCCAGATCTGTCACCTATTGAAACTTTGTGGCACGAGATGAAAAAGGTTCTACGACAACGTCCTGCTCGAACAATCACCGAACTGAGTCAAAAGCTTCAAGAAATATGGGGTTGTTTTACACCAAATTTTTACCAAAACTTGGTTAACACTATGCCCAAAAGAATTTCAGACGTAATAAAAAATAAAGGTGATGTTACCCAATGGTAATCTTTCAATTGTTGCTTTGTTAACTTCGCGCATTTATTCGCACATTGTTTATTTGTTCAGATGTTCTATTAGATATAGGTCTAAGTGATTTCAAATATGTATTTTTTACTGCTAGAGTGTATCTAAAACGCTTTTGAGAAAATAAATTGTTTTAGAATTAAGTAGTTTCGTCAAGTTTAGTTTATAAAAGCATATTTTGGTAGAAATCTTGAAGTGAACCTGCTGAAGTGGGAAGGGGCTCGCATATAAAATTTAGGTTTATAATATGAGCAATTCAGCTAAAACTTTGTTAAAATGGTGGCACTGCCTAACGGATTAGAAGTAAATATTATCTTGCTTGTTTTAAACTGAACACCCTATGTATTATTCAACTTTTGGATCTAACGTGAGACTCCAAATACATTGCATGTGCATCGTCCTATTCATGAGTTGAACCGTATTTGAGGTAGCGCAAACTTTGCGTGAAAATGACAAGTGCAGGGCAATAAATTATAACAACTTTTTCTTATATTTTTAGGAACTTACTGAAAACCGGATTTAAAGCAGCTCGAAAAGTCTATTTTTTTAAAATAAAAGACGCTATTTTCACAAATTATGCAGCAAAAATTGTTGAGAAAAAACAATATTTCTAAATATCTTGGTAACTACTAATTTGCGAAATAGAGGGCCTCATATGAAATTTAAATTATTTTTAATACTTAATACCATGGAATTTTAAAAATCATGGTTCCTATTCAAAAAATTTACTCTTTTTCTTCCTCTTTTCTTGAACACCATACTGTATTACTTATCATCCAAATCTACATTAGAGCATATCCACTACTATAAGAAACCCATTACAAATCAGTTTTCAAAGGAAAAAATACGAAAAAAAATGTTATAAGTTATTGGCATTTGTCATGTTTTTCGCAACATTTGTGATATCTCAAAACCAGTTAGGTTCAGATTAAGGATGATATACATGACATGTATTTAGAGTCTCGAATAGAATCCAAAAATCAAATAACATACAGGGCGTTATATTTAAAATAAGCAAGTTTTCATGTACTTCCGGTGAACTGCTTAAATCAATTATACTACGAGTATAAAGCCATATTTTCATGACTACCTTACAGCAACTTTTTGAGAAATATTTCACATGATGTCTACGTCGGACATCCTGTATATTAAATATATCGATGAATGAATAATGTAAAACTGTTTTTGAGAGTTTATTGGTGTAAAATGCTAAAACATTTATACTACAAAGATAAAATTCATAAAAATATAATCACGGTTATACAGTCTTATAAAATCAAAAACGTACATTCACTCATAAACCTATCCTACACACATATAATTTATAAAATGCGTAAGCAATATACGATATCACTCATCATTTTCTGAATGTCCACATGTACAGAAACTCAGTCACTTTTGAGAAAAATATATACAAAATTCACAAAAAGGCCTCTGCAAAGTCGCAAAAGCTTATTCTTTATCAGGATTTGGGTTTACTCTGCCATTGAGTTTGTCTAAACCTCCTTGTGACCTGCAAAGGGAACAATATTTGTTAAATAATCGTATTGTTCACAGAATATTTGGAGAGCCCAGCAGTTTACAAAAACCTATAAAAAAACAATTAATACCTGAAAATCTGAAGACAATTTAAAAAAAAACTCCTTTCTTCAGATGATAAGCTTCCACTATATATGTTTGATGATACAAGTATGATAAAGTTTCTGATACTTTAATGAAGTCTGGCAACACCGCGGACAATGATGGGGTTCTGCGACAGCCGTCAGCTATCACAGCGGGTTACGTGTTTTGTGTTCTCAAATTCAGTATTTTGTAAGATTCCATATTCTGTTAAGTTAGCTTCAGATTCAGATTCGAAAATCATGAAATTACAGTCGACCAGTTCAGTAGTGAGCGCAAATTGCCTATATGCGTATTTTCCGCCGCTGGTGGATATTTTATTTTACTTATTATCAAATATGGCTTTCAAACAAATTACTGTAGATAGTAGCCCTTAATTCGCGATTGCCGGTGGTGGAGAGAACGGGAAAACGAGAACAGGTCCTTGTGCTATTTTAATACAGAAAACATCAAAAACAATGTTAGTAGGCCCAATTGTATCACTGATGTAAATACTACATACTAAATTAAGATTATACATGGTGATTCCGATAGACGACACGAAAAAACAAGCACATATATACTAAGTGACATATAAATCCGAACACCCAGTTTAAATGGTTTTATTTTAATAAAATTTTGTATAAGTACTTAGTGAAGCATAATAGGTAAATGATAAAAATTTCAAAATGATTGCACTGCTTTAAAGCCCTTTGACCTTTAATAATGTGTGGATGCACCCTGATGTGCTACGCATTCTCCAACGCGCCTAGGCATGCTTCTGATCAGGTGGTCAATGTCCTCCTGTTGTATCTCATTCCAGGCAACCACCAACTCCTCTCGAAGTGCTTCTAGAGTCTGAGGAGGACGTTGCAAATTGAGCAATCTCCTACCCATCATATCCCACACGTGCTCAATTGGAGATAAGTCGGGAGATCTTGGTGGCCATGGTAACAATGTGACATCATTATGTTGAAAAAAGTCTATTGTGACTCTTGCAACATGTGGTCGGGCATTATCTTGTTGGAAAGTTGGAACTGCCAGGGTGTCAAGATAGGGTAAAAGATGGGGTTCTAGAACTTCGTGGATATAACGCTGCGCGTTCATGTTACCTCTGATGAAGATTAAAAGTGACCTGGAACCATAAGCTATAGCACCTCAAACCATAACTCCAACAGTGTGATGAACATCTCTTTCAACAAAAAACTATGGATTCCTCCTTTCACTACGTCTCCTTCTAACCCTTACACCGACGTAATCGCCTTGAGTGGTGCAGACAACGGTCACTCTGGGATCAGGAATGGAACAGTATTGTCTTTAGTGATGAGTCTCGATTTTGTTTAGGCATGCACGATGGTCGTGCCAGGGTGAGATACCACAGGAGGACATTGACCACCTGATCAGAAGCATGCCTAGGCACGTTGGAGAATGCGTAGCACAACAGGGTGCATCCACACATTATTAAAGGTCAAAGGGCTTTAAAGCAGTGCAATCATTTTGAAATTTTTATCATTTACTTATTATGCTTCATTAAGTACTTATACAAAATTTTATTAAAATAAAACCATTTAAACTGGGTGTTCGGATTTATATGTCACTTAGTATATGTTATAAGCAAAAACAAAATCGCACAATCCAAACGAAGAATTGTGCCACCAACAAACTCGCATATGTTGTAGAGACCCCACAGAAGTACATATTTACGGCATAGCTTTGCAAAAAATCAGGGGACTACAGGGTGATTCTGTTCTGTTATTACTACATATTCTAAAATTGCAATCTTTAGTGCTAATTTTATATGGTCAGTGAGCCTAAAAATTTGGCTACTTAACGTATTGTATGCCACATCGTTTTCAAAAGGTTAACATTCTCAATCGAAGGTAGTTGAACTCTGTTTTTGCAGCTCGAGTATAAAAGAGGATTACCAATGGCGAACAGTTGTTCCGTTATTTTATATCGGATTTGGAATAAAATCCTCATGCTTCTAATCGGTTTTGGCTTTTGGCAACAAAACGGCATACGTCACATGTATTAAGTATCTCGTATGTGTTGCAGTTATTGATGACATGACTTTAAAATAAACCACGCCTAAAATACTCTCGGGGCTTGTAGGAGAAAGTTTGAACTTTAATTTAGACACTTGTGCATCTAAAAATCGATAATTATTAATAGAGTTTTTAGACACTAAACATGGGCATTTGCAGGGTTGTCCGGCATTAAATCGCTTATGACTCGGAAAACGGCAATCTTTAGAGAAAATTTAGTATGGACCTTTTATGTTAAAATTGATTCATAAAATCTGTTAAAGTTGTATCCTGAGTGAAAAAAAAACAATTTTTTATTACCAGTTGATTTAAAAAAATTCTTCCACGAGTATTTTTTGCGGAAGGCATGCATGAATACAAGATTTGCAAGTAACGTAAGTCATTAATGTTTTCAGGCCACGACTATCTTCTTAAATCAACATTATTAAAGTCTTCAGATAAGGATACGCGCTTTTTATATTTCATATGAAACAATAACAAAAACAATTTTGATTGTCAAGAAGATGCCAAGTCTATATTCTTTTCCCGAATAACAAGAGATAACGAGGTACAGTTCTTTCAGATTTTTGGGTAATGTAACAAAACCTTGCGAAAAGGTAACGAGTGAAGTATGAATCTATTCTCCATTACTGTGCATTTTCATTGAAAACAAGTACAATTTTAGATTCGAAAATTACATTCCATCGTGTTGAAATGTTAACCCTATCTTTTGGGCAACTGTTACGTTATGGTTTATACTTTTATTTGCTTTTCACGTCATCTAAAATCAGATGTCCTACTTATTAAGCTCAAAATTGACTGCAGTAGACCTGGGTGTAGATTGAATGGGTGAAATGTTTGCTCAATAATATTTAATTGTTGAATATAAATTGGTTAACGAATTTATCCTATTTGACGGTTCCGCACTGCATGTAGATGTTACCTTATTTCATGACAAATGATCTGTGTTCTCTGTTTACCGTTATAGTATATTTATTCGTGTATAAAAAAACACTGTTCAAATTACAGTTAGACAGTAGATCAACAATAACTCCATTTAATACTTATCAATCATTATCTAACTCAATTAGATCACACAGCTGAGCTTAAAATATATTTAAGGTAATCCGATCATGGACAGATAAGCCTTCGATAATTTTATTCACATTGTATATGTTCCGTTAGAAATGTGATGTCACTAGGATGCCTACGCTAAAACGTGCGTTTTTTTAGTATAAATTATTTGTTGTATTAGATGTATTATGTAGTAAAGAACATTTCCAGAATTTATAAATCGATTTACTGTACCATTTATCTCTAAATGTCATTTAAACGGTTAATAATTCAACTTGATAATGACTATTCCACTTAGAACGCTATTTCACAATCAGTTCACGTACACATCTAGCCATTATTACATTTGGTAGATCCGGTGAAAGAGCTACTTTTTATCAGTTTTTTGGCCACTATTGGCGCCAAATAATACGTATTCCTAAATATGAACTAGTATTTATGGCGTCAAGTAGGTTCCCACTAACAATTATCACTCCTATTATAGTTGCAAGAATGATTATACAGCATTCCTTACACAGCATTGTATACTGTAATACTTTGGCAAAACCCTCTTAGAACAGCTATACAAGCGGAATGGGCACACCTAATAGGACACTTCAGTCATTTAAGAGGTTGTATAAGGGCAGCAGGTAACAGTTATACAACAAAAGTGTATGCCTCTTGCAGCCGCTATAGGACATTTGCGTCAGTGCAAGATTCAGTTTTTGTCAACTATACAACTATTCTGTTACGTGATTCTACTTTATTGCAACCACACTATTTCTTATGTACTGTATCGACGAAGTGAAGAATATATAACTAACACAATACAGTCATCTTGTTTACTTACATATCGGCCATTGTGAATTTCATACACAGGTATATAATAAACTTCTACACTGTGATATAGGGCTATTGAATTACTTGCGCAGCAAATTTTATTGTGATTATCGTGCAAAGTAGTTACGCAATTTCTGCGGTCTTCGTATTTGATTCATATTTTGATAATGATCAAAAGTATGTCTGGATTTTTAAGATGGAAAACTGAACTTATATGCGTTAAATCTTCCACAAATCCTATATTTAGATACAATTACACTAATGTTTATCACTTTATATCTGTAATTTCGAACTGAAACATAATTATTTAATATCAAATAGAGGAATAAATGTTTGCCCAATATGGCAGGTGATTGTGTATAATCATGGCATCGTCCATGTTGTCTTTAGTTTATTAGAATATTTTGGTGTTGCCTGCAGGTGTTATACAAAAATTTGACAAATGTCAGAACTGAAATACCGACAGAGTCGAATGATTTACCTAGAATTTGTACCAGATCTATATTATCTTCTGTTTGAACAGTTGATAAAACCTTTTTAACCAATATGCATGCGTTGTTTGACTTAAAACATTGGTTATGGCATGTTAACAAAAATATGACAGCAGAAAGTTAGGTTATGGTGAAGTTGTATACCAACATATTTAGCATATGTACAGTCTTTAACAGTTACTAAACAACAGTTGTATAAGTGCTTCCGTTGGGAGCAATTTGTTGGCTAAAGTAGTAAATTTGCACAGCAAAACAACAAGGCTCGGGTTTGTTTTATAAACGTTACCATGGATGCCACAACACAACCATTTTGACTAACCTGCAAATATGCCGTATAAAATAGTTGTATAAACGTTTATGCAACAGTTAAAAATTTGTCCTATAAGGTGTTGTGTAACTATACTATAAGAATGTTTTAAACACCTCATTTTAGAGCAAATATGTTGCAGAAAGCAAATTTGCATTCCACACAACATTAAGCCAGCATTTTGGTGTTCAGAGAACAA